AAAGCTGAGGCAGGGGCCTGCTGTGAGTCCAAGGACAGCCTGGGCTACGTGGTGAGGCTCCCCACCCCCAATCCAAACTCACAGTCCTAGAAAGGGCAGGCTAACTCAGAGTGCGACGGTCTATCACCGGGACTATGAGAATCTCGTGCTTCTCAAATTCTTTTACAAAGTTGCTTCAATTTTCACTTTCCACTTAATACAAGACCAGCAGAGTTGCTAAGGAGAAGGTGCCCATGACGTCAGGGCTCTTATCTCCACTCACGCTCTTTGATGACAGGGTAGTGCTATGTGCCCAGGCTGGCCCGGGACTTGCCAGGGAGAAGTGCAGGCTTGAGTCCACTGTGCAGTCTGTTGCGGCCTTGAATTTAGGATCCCCCTGCCTCTTCAGCTTCCAGCGTAGTGAGAGCACAGGGACTCGCTAATCTGGCATTTCTGTTGCTTTTACAAAAGAATCTTAGATAGACACCGTGGCTCATGCTTTTAACACTGGCACTCAGGGGCGGAGGCTCGAGGACCTCTGTGAGTCTGAGACCTGTCTCAAAAACTCAGAAAGAGGGACTGGAGAGATGACGGCTCGGTGAGCAAAGCACTTGTAGTACAAGCATGAAGACCTGAGTTCAAATCCCCAGGGCCCGTGTGAAAATCTGGACTTGGTAGGACCAGTGTAGAATCAGGACCCCTACTGTGAGGGGTCCCGGGACAAGAGAATCCTCGACACTGAGGCCAGCCACCCCACGCAGGCAGCGCTGAACAGGAGACCCTGTCCCAGCAAGGTGGAAGGTGAAGACACACCTGAGGTTTCTCTCCACACATGTGTGACCTACAGAGAGAGAGAGCGAGACAGAGAGAATAGCCAGGACACCGGGACAGCCTGGGCTGCATACAGAAACCCTGTCTCAATGGAGAAAGAAAGAAAAAGAGAAAGAGCAGAAAGAAGCTGGACTAGACTCCTCCGTGCTTGTTTGCGATCTCAGCACTCAGGGGTTGGAGGGAGGAGGATCAGGAGTTCAAGGCCAGCCTGTCTCAAACAAGACAAGAGTCTGATGGCTTCAGGAATGCAGGCGGAAGAGGAGGTGGTGGCTAGGGCATTTGGGAGAGTGTGTCAGGAGAGACTGAGGACTTTCACGGAGGTTTTGCAGCCTTGATGTCTGCTCGCTTCCCCTGGCCTCTGAGGCAGGTGGGTGACCCTCAGTGCCCGGAGGACTCCACACATGGGTTAGGGAGTGGGCCACAGTGACGGCTTCTTTTTCAAGGTTTTGAAACAACATGTACCATCGTACAACCAGGATTCCAAAGTACACACATCTCCTATGGCTTCTCTGGGCTGTTCACCTGGCCCACAGTAAAGTTCAGAACAGCACTCTGTAACCAAGTAGCGTTAGGCCACACTTTCAATACGACACACACCTACTGACTGTGGTCTGGGGAGGAGAGCAACAAGCGGGCTATTCTCCCTGACCTGTTCTGCCTCAGGAGACTGACTGCGGAGCTTGAGATGCAATGCCTGTATCTGATTTTTTGTTTTTTAAAGTCTCCGGCCAGTGGCTGGGCCTGGCCTAGGGAAGACCCAATGGGTGCAAACGTGCCACAGCTGAAGGGAGGAAAGAGACGCTGGGCTCTAGGGAGCTCCTCCAGAGGACGGCTGCCATTTTTCTTCTGACCTGGCCTGAGGGTGTCAGGCAGAGGACACAGCTGGACACCTCACAACTGTGATCAGGCAGGCAAAGCCGTGCTACGTTTTCACAGAGCAAGTCTACTGGGGCGGGGGGGTGGGGGGGAGGACACTGGGTCTCCTTCCAGGAAGCTTTGCTCTGTCAGGCACCGAGCATGGCTCAACATCCACTCCTGCTCCAGGTAGGAGGAAGCAGGGATCAAACAAGGCAGTGTCCATGCTCAGGGACCAGGTGTGGACACAGATAAACATGCCGTGACTGCAGGATGGGGAAGGAAAGAAAGGGTACCCAGTGAACCCAGAGGCACAGCCCTGAGGAAGCCTGGGTTGCGGGAGGGGCAGGGGGCAGGGGGCAGGGGTGAGCTCCTGCCATATGGTTGACTCAAAAGCACCCTAACCGTTGCCAGAGTGGAGACAGGGGACCGCCAAAGGGGAGCAGGACAGCTCTGGCGACACAGGCGCCCGGGGCTAGAAGACTGCCACATCAGCGTCTCTGCTCTGTCCAGAGGTGACAGCACAGTGACGGAGGAAGGCGGCTCCTCCTGAAGACTTTAAATACAACTTCTAGGACGGTGGAGCAGTTGCTTCAGGCTACGGGAACCCAGCAATCAGTCGCCCGGCAACCTGATTCTGAGGGGAAAACCAGAGCTTCGTGGCCCAGGAGGAAATGAGATTTGGAACATAAACAGGAGGATTGGTTCTGATTCCAAGGGAGGCATCGGCTTCTGAGTCAGGCTCCAGGTGCCCGGGCGGGAGTCAGGGCCCCTGCCGCCAGGCCTGAATGCAAGCCCAGGCTATGCTGGCTGGCCAGCTTCCTCCCTCGGCCGGCACAGATACACACACCACCCCACACAGCTCCCCTGGGGCCGGCCAGGCATGCGCTCTGGGCAACGTGTCCAACTGTCCCAGCCACGAGAGGAGAGTGGAAGCCTACTCTCACCCGGCCATGCTCACCCGGCCCTGAGGCGGATGGGAACAAGGATGAGCTCTGAGCTGGAGAAGCAGCCCTTCACTGAGCGCTGCGTGGTGTGTGGTGGAACTGCGGCTCTGGGCTTGGGAGAGAAGGGACAATGAGCAATGCCTGAAAAGTCTAATCCCCCTCACTGTCCCTTATGGAGACTGAAGTCCAGGGACCAAGACCAGAGAGACTCGTGCTTAGCTCCTGCCCCAGGTCTTAAAGAGAGAAAACAGTTCTCAGAGTGATTTATTCATCTATAAATAGTTCACAGAAACAGACAAATCCTCCTTTAGAGGAGAAAGATTAAGGACAGAGACACAGGTACGTTGGCTTAGCGTCACACAGTAACTAGGTGCCAGAAAGAAGCTGGGCCTCTGGCCTGTCCCTGAGCCATTTCTAGAGCCACCGACTGTCTGCCTCTGCGGTAGGGCCAGAAGGGGGCTCTGCTCAAACTTGGGGATGGTCTGACCATGGCTAGCTCTTGGTTTCAAATAAAGCATTCTTAGATTTTAGTCTCCTTTAGTTCAGTGTTTAGGTGGGGCCATGCTTGCCCAGAATGAGGGGGCATCTTGTCACTCTCGTGTGCGGGTGGCCAGATGTCTCCAGGAAGCATTTTAACCACAGTAAGTGGGCCTAGGAGCCTGGCTCTCTTCCAGACTGTGAGCTCCCAAAGTTACTTGTTTGATAGAAAGGGTGTAGGGTGGAGTGGGACAGTCCAAGAAGCTGTTTCTGACCAGGAGAGATAGACAGATGCCCTGCTGCTCACAGTGAGGACAGATAAGAGCGAGGCGCCAAAGGAGCAGGCCTTGGCGGCCCGCCCCAGAGGGAGCCACTAGAAGTGGGGTGCATTCCCCTCAGGACACTCCCTCAGCCCTGCAGGGTGGTGGTGAGGGGTTTTCCTGTTTTCAGACCTCCCAGGGAAACAGAGCGTAGGCCAGGAGAACTTGGTTGACTGGTTACCCAGCGACCGCAGCAGCCATCTGGGTCGTGGGCTTCCCCTACGAGAGCAGGCCGGTTTGCAGGAAATCACCAGGCAAAGCCTGCTGACCAGCTGCTGGACCAGGCTGAAAACACTGACCAGCGCTGCGATTTAGCTTTCTCCCGGGGAAAAATGTGGAAGTTTAACAAGATGCCTGCTAACTGTCTGACCCTAGTTCTGAAACCAAGACTCTGACAGAAGCCACAACGTCCGTCTCCCCAAGTGTCATCACCAGCCTCTGGGATGTCACTCAGTCGTCCCAACGGGCCAGCACTTGCATACTCTGAGTCTGCTCTTTACACCACGTCCCCTGTGAAAGCTTTCCAGCAGAGGCCCTAGAAGTCTGTTCCCCAGACAGTTTAGACCTACCGTTCTTCCTCTGGCATATCTGAACCACGGGTCTCAGGCTGAGGCAAGCCTGACAGGCCTCCAGGGCTGCAGCTTTGGTGGCAGGGAGAGTGGGGGCAGGGAGGACTCCCCTATGTTATCACATCCACAGGGCCCAAGCACTCTCCAGCCATGACACAGGACTCAGCTGGCATTTTCTGAAGAGCTCCCCTGAATTCTCAGCCCTCCTCTGCCAGCTCTCTTCACACCGCATTAGCCTGCTATTGGGAGGAAGGGAAGGCCTGCAGACATGAACATATCCCTCTCAGTCAAATCGACCAGGATGGGAGAGTAGGGTCAGAAATCCAGGGGTCTGCAGCTCTAGGTCAATACTCTTCATACTTTTCCAGCCCAGAACAGGAGCTTCTGAAAGGACCCCAGCCTTCCAGCCCAGCAGAGGATCCTGTTTACATTACCCTAGGCTGCCAGCTCCTAGAGGACAAGCTGGTCTGCAAGGAGGGAGGGCAAAGTTTAGGACCATCGGACCTGGAGGCCATTCTTGACCCTTTTCAGCTTTGACAGGAGCAGACTCTGAGGCCTGCAGAAGGGACTCATGCCCCTGAGGAACTGGGAGAGGGCCGGCTTGGGGTTTGTTATCCTTCTCTCTCTCTCACTCCACCCCTAACCCCCTGTTTTGGCAGTCGGGCCTTCCAGCCCCAGGCCTGAAAGTCCCTAACCACGAAATGTGCCCGGGGGCTGCCCAGCCAGCTCTTCTCCCAAACCCATCTTTTTCTGGCCTGACGCGGGTCCTGATCCCCGCTAAACCTTCATCCTCCGCAGCGAGGATGGTGGCCCCTCTAAACGTGCCCTCCTGACGCCGCACCACCGGGGTCCCCTTCCCAGGAGAAATGCCCCCGAGCGCCCGCAGCTCAGGAAACCAGGCGGCACCGCTCAACGCGCAGAGCGCACCGGGCAGCCCAGGCCGACCCTCCCAGCCCGGGGCGGCCCCCGCGGCGCTCCGGGGATGCCCTGCCGCCCCGGTGGCCCCGACCCCCGAGCCTCACCCAGAACAGCATGTTGAAGAAGAAGAGCAGGTATTTCACCAGCGGGCTGACGAAGGAGAAGTCCTCCCCGTAGACAGCCGGCGCGCCGGGTCTCCGCGCCATGCTCCGCCGCTGCCCCCGGGGGGCCTAGCTCCCAGCGGCCCACCCGCGCGCCCCGCAGCCCGGGACGGGAGCCGCGCGCCCACGGGGACCCGAACGCGGGGCCGCCGCGCCGGGAGCCGCCCGAGCCGAGCGTC